GTTTGCAGTGTGGGAAAAACTAACTTGATGCATGCCTGCAATCATTTCCAAAGTCAGAAAAAGATCTAAAGAACTTGTGTTTCTGGTTCAGGATATTTCTAAGCAGAATGTCAAAAGTGACCACTGGTTTCTTGTAATAGTATTTGCTGTTGTTGTTGTTTAGTTGCTCAGTTGTGTTCGACTCTTTTCCGACCTGATGGACTGAAGCCCGTCAGGCTCCTCTGTCCATAGGCTTTCTCAGACAAGAATACTGGAGTGGGTTGCCATTTCCTACTCCAGGGGATCTTCCCGACCCAGGGACTGAACTCACGTCTCCTGCATTGCAGGCGAACTCTTTACCGCTGAGCTATCAGGGAAGCCGCTTTACTAGTACATGGTAAAGTATTATGAGCTACAGAAGACTTTGCTCAGATTTAAAGCAGCGCTTAGAGAAGCACAGGGGCCTAGGACAATCTTGTCAGATTCTCAAAATCAAAAAGAAGAAGTTCAGACAAGGGTGTACTAAGGTGCTGTAAGTAAAATATAGCCATAGGTAAAAGGGTACCTGTAAAACCCTTTGTAAGCGTTCAGGAAAATTTAAGATAGTGGTTTGCAGGCCCTTTTGCAGGCCACACAAAAGGATTCTAAGATTCTTATGAGCCTGACCAAGGGCATCCTATTCACAGCCTGGAGTAGGGAGGATCCTTCTTGAAAGAACTGGTGAGCAACAGTTTTTTTTATGATAGTGAACTATAATTTGATACACAGAAAAAAATCCACAAGTTTTTAAAGTTGCTGCATCAACTTAGGCAAAAGAGGGTTCGGCCCCAACTTTCTGTGACCAGGAGTTGCTGTGTACCTTCCACACTTCCCCCTTTCTGAACAGAGTATCTGTTGAGGTTTACCTGTTCCTGTCTTACCTCTGGGGGCTGAAAGTACATGGGACAGATAACTTGTCTTTTTATCTTCCAGATCTCCAAATTAGGAATTTCTGCACCTCATGTGTATCTGGACCTGGTAAAGATCATCAGCTACTAGATTTTGAGCCTGACGCAATAATGGGATGAGACTGTGGGGGATAAGCTGAGTTTATTTTGTTTGTAGGAGGAACGTGAATTGTGACTGGAAAGAGGACTTAAGCACATTTTTTTCAAAGTTGACCATAACAATCCCATCAACCTCCATGTACTTCTGAGGTGTGACTTTGCTGCTCATTTCATGGGGAAGTGGAGCCCATATATCCTGTCCCTTGACTTGGGCTGGCCCTGTGACTTGCCTTGACCAAAAACAATGCTATGGAGGTAGCAGTATGTGACTTCCAAGCCTAGGCATTAAGTGGGTTTTGCAGCCTCTGTTTTTTATTCTCTTGGTAGGGACACGCCATGAAAAAAATTGTGATGGTATTCCCAGACAGACTATACAAAAAGAGAGAGGACCAGCCAGTCCCCTCAGTTCCAGCCATCCTTGCTAAGGCACCAGGCATGTGAAGGAAGTCATCTGGAACTTTTCAGACCCAGAGGAGCCAACCAATTTGACCCCTCATGGATCAAGGACAAGCTGTACCTGGTGAACCTTATTCTGATTGCAGAACTCTGAGAAAATAAATGGTTGCATTAAAAAAAATTTCTTTTTAAGCCACTAATTTTGAGGGGTGGTTTGTACACAGCAATAAATGATTAGAGTATGACTTGATCAGTCAATTACTCCAAACTAGTCAATGTGGCTGGGCTTCCTAGGCGGCGCTAGTGGTAAAGAACCCACCTTCCAATGCAGGAGACATCAGAGACATTGGTTTGATCTCTGGGTCAGGAAGATCTCCTGGAGGAAGGCATGACAACCCATTCTAGTATCCTCGCTTGGAGAATCCCATGGACAGAGGAGCCTGGCGAACTACAGTCCATAGGGTCGCAGAGTTGGACACTACCGAAGAGACTTAGCACCAGCCCGTATGGCTGGATATGATTGTGAGATCATGCAAAAAACCAAAGCAGTATACCATCCAACGGATAAAGCAGTGGGAATAACCCAATGGCCCTCAGTGCTAGTTCTGGCTCCCTCTTTACCTGCTGTGTGAACTGAGGCAAGTCACTTAGTATCTGTGAACCTACTTTATGGAATAGGGATAATGATTTCTATCTTATGCTACTCTTTTGAGGACTGTATCAAATAACCAAGAAAAGAGCCTGTTTGAAAACTATTGAGAATTATTCGAGAAGAATGAACTCCCCTGTTACAACAGCTAAGTGCGCTCCTACTGAGTCACTTAAGGCACCAGCTTGCCTACTTAAAATAACAGCTCTTCTGTTTACTCTCTTCCCATTGATAGATTTCTGTTAATCAGCTTCTCTTTAAGGAAAGAGGCCAAGTAGTTTAAAATTTCCTAAATGAAAAATAGTGCAGAAAGACACCAAATATTATTAAAGAAATGGCAAGATGAATATTAAAACAGGCATTTTGTGTTTGTAAATTTGATTTCTAGTATGTTTTAACAGCTATACTAAAACCCCATGGTGCAGTTAATAGTATTATACGTGTCCCTCAATAATAAGAAAATATCCTCAAAAAGAATTTCTAATTTACAAGCTTATGACAAGTTCAAGCTGCTGAGAAATTGGACTTGAAAGTATTTCTTAGAATGATAGAAGACTACTATTAACACTATCATAATTGTATACCTATTGCATCAAATTTGACATTCCAGTTTAATATATTTTGCTGAGAGAGCATACCAATTTATGGCTTCCTAGTGAAATCAAATCCAACCCAGACGTTTTCACTTTTCTAATATAATTCACTGCAAGGTTTTAAAGCTGCCATCTCTTTTCTTCCTTTTTTCCCAAGATTGATGTCCTGGCATTCGTTAATTCCACAAGAGCTCATAATGGGTCAATGAGTCAGTGGTGAGCACCTCCATTAACTGTATTAATTTACACTATGTCACCTTAATGACATTTTGTCACAGCTCCCTTTTCTGACATCTGCATAGCTATTCAAAAGTAATATAACAACTTTTGAAGGCATTAAGGAAAAATTAGTATAAGAACTTCAGTAAGTTGAATGTCATTGTTACCAAGACTATGCTAGAGCAGATAAATTTTAAAAAAAAGTAAAAATGAACTGGTCTGACTTCACTTGTAAGACCTCTCTTCAGAGAGGTCACTTCACCATGGCTCCTTCTCTGCCCAGCTTGCACTCATTACCGCAGGACAAGAACGATGCTAACAAAGAGAGAATAAAACCATTCCCTTTGTCCTAGTTCTCTTTTATACAAGACCTTAAATCTACGTTGAGATACTGCAGAAGCATTTTTCTTTAGAAATATAAAACCACTGGTCCTGAGACTGACATGTAACTATGGGAGATATCTGGTGATCAGAAGAATCAATAAAATTCTTAGGATAGAAGGTAAAGCCTAAAACTCTACCTACATACATAAATTAGGATGACTGACTTGTATGTGGGCTTGTGAGGGTGAATATTTGAATTAAGTTGAAAAACCGAGTTTCCGTTTCCTGATGATGTCAAGAGTCAAGAACATCGTGTTAAGAAAAGCATTTTCACTTGAAAGTTTGATATAATATGGACACAGCTCTGAATTAAGATAATTAATAATCTTACATATGATAGAAGGCCTCAAAATATAGATAAGAATATTTAATTCACATTTAAAATAGCTATTGAATGCTTTTTAAAGATACTGTGTTAGTTCTAGAAGCCTACTGACTCCCCATTTTGTATTAATTCTCAAAAAAAATATTAAATAAGAAATGGATTCTCTTCTTAATATCATTCATTGTAAACCAATTTAAATGATGGTTTATGGATCTTTCAGAGTTGGATTCCTTAGTGAAATCATAAGTTTGATAGAAGGAAAATATGGACCTTCAGAGTTTCATATAGTAAGAATGCATGTTAAATTATCTTATTTCCAAATGTGAATACATTGTACATATAAACTAATATTCATTTATGCAAACTCTGACAGTAACAAATAAGACACATAAAGATGCTACAGATTACTTGGATCCATTCCTTTTGTTTTCTGCTTTGAAAGAAACTAAATAAAAGTTGTACTCATCCAATTTCCTATAGTTCAGTAACACTGTAACTGCCTTTAAAAAATGTTTGCAATAGATAAGCATAAACATGTAAATGACAATTTTTACTTTAATTCACTACATTTTGTTGGATTAAAACACTAAATGGAATGATACTATAACATTTGTATATTCAGCAGCATGAGTGGAAGTGATGAGAAAAATTTGAAGAGAAAGGGATTAAAATAAGAAACGTATACCTATGTAATAACAGGATCATTTAATCTCATCGGAAAAAAATGAGGAAAAAACTGAAGAACAAATGTATTTTAATGTCTTGAATAAGACTATTTTTTAAAAAATACAAGTCCACATAAAGGAGCAATACATCTCTATATTCACCAATAGCTAAGCCGTAGCTACTGTCACAATGACTCCGCTCTCCGGCTGGCCCAGGACATCGTGTGTGTGTTGGTTTAATCTAATGTGTATTGTTGCATAGTATCCCCAGGCACAGTCAAGTAAAAGCTAAGGCTGTACAGAAAAGCCTACATTTTAAATGGGTCTTGTCATTAATGCTTTATTAATTGCCCCAGGCTACGTAAACCCAAAGCTGGGCAAGCTATAACAATATGACACATTAAGGTCAAATCCAATTCCTGCTGTGTTTTCTGGAATGGGCCAAATATTGAGTTAACAGCAGGAAAGGCAATTTATGGGCTTTTCTTCCCATCTACCGATTATTTGATCTAAATTAGATGGGAATTTTTTAAAAATAACAAAAACATCTTAACTGAAATAATATAAAAGAATCTTGAGTCATTTTCTGTGCACTCAAAATTATTTTCAAGTCCCTCTGAGGTGTACCACATAATTTTTAAAATATGGAACAAAGCTGCAGAATAAAGTATCTTAGACACCCACTTAAACAAATCAAAATTTCAACACATTTTGAAATTAATATCAACAAATAAAAGAGCTTACCTTTACATCAGAAGTATCTCTCTGACTAGTTCTCCAAGACCTTGCAACAGACGAGAATGTTCGATTAGGATGGTCAAATTTTCCATCATTTGCATTGAGGAAGAAGGTTGTGAAAGGTTCCTAAGCAAAACAACAACAATCAAATCAATAATTTGACCTTTCTGAACACCACTGTTCTCTTTCTTTGTGAAACACGACTTTTTGGAAACCCTTTGGAGGTGGAAACCCTTTTGAGACCCTTTTGATGCTGTTTTTTGAGGCAGGATCCTGTCAGGAGGGGCTGGTCTGAGTCACTCTGGGGCGCTGGATCACCTGTCACTCTGCAACCTTGGCAGCTTATGTTGCTTCTTGCCCTTCAGTCTTCTGATTTATAAAATGATGGAGTTCTAGTGCTCTGTGATTTTATGACGAATGACTTTGCATTGCTGTCAACATATAACTCAGATCTTTTTTCTCATAACTAAGGCCACACATAGTAAGACTGCAATAAGAAAATCTCTCCGACACTATGGTGTGAAAATTGCATAGGGGATGTCCATCTTAGACTACCTGAAAGTCTCCTAAACTTACTATATTATGACCTGATGTTTTTAAAATGCAAATCTCCTTGACTGAAATCCTGCCATAGCTTTCAGAGCTTTTAGGAAAAAGCAGAAACTATTTGATTTGTCCTAAGAGAGCCTGAGTGATATGGAACCTGCTTTAACTCTTTATCTCTTGCCATTCCCTTATTCACATCCTAAGGTCTTGCCATGTTGGTCTCATTTCTCGTCCTCTGTATGGGATATTCCCTCTGCCTGCTACAAACTTAACCCTCTACCTTATCATCCTGACTTGGTTAAGCTCTTCTTATCCTTTAAGTCTCAGCCCAAGATGTTGTTTCCTTCTGAAAGACCTCCCTTGATTTGCCAAGCCCTCCAGTATGTTCAAATGGCAACATATATTTCCTCAAACACATCCCTGAAAAATTTGTGACTGTTTTTTGAAACTGATTTTTAAACATTTTTTACTGGGGTATAGTTGCTTTATAATGTTATGTTAATTTCAGCTGTAAAACAAAGTGAATACACATGAATACACTATGTATACATATATCCCCTCCCTCCCACCCCACCCCTCCCTCCCACCCCCCTCCATCCCACCCCCCCCTCCCCACCCTCCCTCCCATCCCCCCACCGCCCCCCCCCCCACCCCCGCCTCCTACATCCAGGTCATCACAGAGCACTGACCTGAGTTCCCTGTGCTACACAGCCGCTTCCCACTAGCTGTTTTACACAGGACAGACGTCAATCCCAATCTCTCAACTCATCCCTCCTTACCCTCAAGTCCACCTTTCTGTTCTTTATGTCTGTAGCTTTGTTCCTGCCCTGCAAATAGGTACACCAGTACCATTGTTTAGATCCCATATACATGCATTAATATATGATATTTGTTTTTCTCTTTCTTGTCCATCTTTCCCACTATATGAATAGGTTCCAGCTCCTTGGAAGAAAAGCTATGACAAACTTACACAGCGTATTAAAAAGCGGAGGCATTACTTTGCCAACAAAGGTTCATATAGCCAAAGCTATAGCTTTTCCAGTAGTCATGTATGGATGTGAGAGTTGGACCATAAAGGAGGCTGAACACTGAAGAATTGATGCTTTTGAACTGTGGTGTTGGAGAAGACTCTTGAGAGTCCCTTGGACAGCAAGGAGGTCAAACCAGTCAATCCTAAAGAAAATTATCCCTGAATATTCATTGGAAGGACTGATGCTGAAGCAGAAGCTCCAATACTTTGGCCATTTGATGCAAAGATCTGACTCATTGGAAAAGACCCTGATGCTGGGAAAGATTGAAGGCAAGAGAAGAAGGGGACAATAGAGGATAAGATTGTTGGATGGCATCACCAACTCAATGGACATGAGTTTGAGCAAACTCCAGGAGATGGTGAAGGAAGCTTGGCATGCCACAGTCCACGGGGTAGCACAGAGTTGGACATGACTGAGCAACAACTACTACCAGATTCACTGTTTTATCTCCAACACTTAGAAGAACTCCTGGCACACCCAAGCTGCTCAATGTATTAATATAATCTGTTGAAGGAATGAATGAAATGACACTAAAACAAATCAGATAGGACTAGATCAACTCTGGTCCTTCTAGTATTCTGTGACTATTACCTTACTGCAACATGGTGTCTGTCATTAAGTATATATTCCCTTAGCACGAAACCTAGGAATAACGTTATCACAAGGTCCTAATGCATTTAAATTTACTGCTTTTTTGTTATGTTACTCATCATAACAAAGATGAGAATATATTTACTTTCCTATGGTTCAATCCCTCTCTCTTAAATCTAGGATAAATTACATGTCACTCCTAGGTTCAACAACATTAAGAAATCTTTCCTACATATTTAGGTTTTTTCCCCTTAATATATAATCTCTGTTCATTCTTTTATATCCGTAAAACACACTCTGTCTCTTTAAACTCCTCTTTTTGCCACTAGTCATAAAGTCCAGTTGTCAGGCAACAGCCATAAATATTTATATGCCTCAGTATCTTCCTGAAATTAAGTATGGCTGGATGTCATCAATTTTATAACTTTGTAATGTGCCACCAATTTTCATGTCTAATACTGAATGAAAGAAAAGTATGGTGAAAGAGATAAGATGAAGAATGATATAACACTATATAGGTAAAGAGGGTATTACTGATTTACCTCAAAATCAAATATGCATCCAGTAGGTCTATATTGCTGTTTAAGATTTTAAGTGATTTGACAGACAAATAGATGCCACCAAAAATAAGTTAGGAAAAAAAGTTTAGGGATGTCTTTCACTAATTAATTTGCTTTGTAAATTTTAGAATCCCTATTAAATATAAGGTAGTCAATGCAGCATATCTTATCACTAAATTAAAGTGGGGATAGAAAAATTCTAGAAATAGCAACAGTAAACTGAATGAAATGACAGATCTACGTTTGAATCTTGGTGGAACCATTTACCTCTCTTGAGCAAGTTACTTAACCTCAGATAGGTAGCAATACAAAGTAACCATATCTCAGTTCCTTGATCTGTGTTAACTGGGAATAACAATACCTGGCGGGTAATTCAGATTAAATAATATGGAGAAAGTCTGTAGCATCAGAGATGACAGAGTGGTGACGATGACTACCAGCTTCATGCCTGGTGTCAAGTACCCATGTTGGGCTTCAGCAAGACTGACAGTTCCTTAGGTCTTATTCATCCCTCTATCCTTAGAGCCAAGCATGGTGCTTGGTTCACAGTTAGTGTTTAATTAATATTTTTGAACATACATAAATAAACAAGGTACTGCTGGGAGAAGGGGTATGGTTGGATAAGAGTAAGATAAAGTTTTCTTAGTCAGTTTTTAACTACTAGTTTGACCAAAAAGTTGCATCTTCAGAATCCACTTCTTCGTTATTCTAGGATGCTGATGTAAGGGCATTTATGTTTTCTTTGTAGGTAGTAGGCAAAGAATAATTTAGAGGGATCTGAGTTGTCTTCATGATTTTTAACCTATTATAGATGTGAGTGAAGACATGAAGTGTCTTACTTCTTATCATCAACCACTAAAAGCTGATCTCTACCCTAGCCTAAATTATCAAACTCTTCCTTAGTTTTGAACACTTAGTGAAGTCATGCCAAGAATAAGTGCAGATGGGCACAGTGAAAATAAACCTGAAATTGAAGAATTATTTACTTCTGGTCATGAAATTTATGAACCTGGTTGCACCCAAAGCACAGAATATTGAAGAATTCCACATTTTTTGCTGTTCCACATAGCCTTTAAAAAGATCTGGTTAACAACTGTTTGAGGGTCACATACTACTTTACTGATATATATTCTCATTATTTCCAAAGGCCTCCAGCTGCTACAGTGGTAGAGCACTAACAGAAAGGGACAACCTATTTGTTTATAAGTGGGTAATGATCTTTCAAGTCCTGCTCACTAGAGAGATTACCTTTTTTCATGTGTTTCCATATTACCTTCAAGGCGCAGTACAAGGACTTTCTGTTTCATTTGATTCATGCTTGATTAACACAGAGGATCAAGTGCTACCTTAAGGTTAAGAAACTTTAATATTAATTCAACTGACACATGTTGATCAAACCACTTTCAACGTGTGCGTGCTCAGTCACTCAGTCGTGTCTGACCCTTTGTGACCCCATGGGCTGTAGCCCGCCAGTCTCCTCTGTCCATGGGATTCTCGAGGCAAGAATACTGGAGTAGGTTGCCACTTCCTCCTCCAGGGATCTTCCTGACCCCAGGATTGGACCCATGTTCCTTTCTTTCTATGTGATTATCATCATATTTGGTATTTTATCATTGTCCTAGAACATTTTTGGCTTTGGAGATAAGGTGGAAAAATAAATAAATGTTAAACAGAAAATTCAGAAATTAAAATACTTGTACTTGGCTGGGCTTTAAAAACTTCAGGTTCTGTCCTGCGGTATAAATGGCTGATGGCAGACTTCTTTCTCCTGATTACATCTATCTTAACCTTCCAACTCTTCCTTGGGGCCAGAAAGTCAAACTGGCCTGTCCTACATGAGAAGTACCAGCCCGACTGAATTATGTCATAACCTTTAGTGCCTGCAAGGACACTAACAACCTGTCCTGCCTTCCAATGATGTGAAAAGAAAGTGAAAGTGTTACTCGGTCAGTCATGTGTGACTCTGCAACCTGACGGACTGTTGCCCACCAGGCTCCTCTGTCCTTGGAATTCTCCAGGCAAGGATAGTGGAGTGGTTTGCCATTCCCTTCTCTTGGGGATCTTCCCGACCAAGGACTGAACCCAGGTCTCCTGCATTGCAGGCAGATTCTTTACCATCTGAGCCAGCAGGGAAGCCCTCCCATGATCTGATCGCAAACAACTCACCCTTCCCGGGCCATCCAACTCTGCCACTCTTCCCCTCTGCTCTTTAGACAAGTCCTTTATTTTTCTGTCTTACATGACTTCTGCTCAGTCACCCGTAAGAGTCTTTTTTACACCCCTCTCCGCTCTTCTCTTCTTTCTCTTCATTTCATTTGAAACAAACCTCATTCCTTGTTAATAGTGCCGGGACATAATTTTATCAAAGAAAAGATATATATACCTTGAAGTTATATAAAGCATAATAAAGACCAAAGGGAAGGGAACTAAAGTTATGAGCACTTTTTGCGCATGGCACTGTATTATCTCAGTTAACTAAATCAATCATCCCTATTATCCTTTAAGTGGGTGTAATTATCCCTGTTTTACATCTGAGAGAGATCACACTCTCCGAAATGGAGGAATCATTGTTTACACTGTGCTGTGTATAACTTCAGAATTTTATTTTCTCCCAGTGTTTTCAAAAGAAATCAGAAGTATCTTTTTGAATCTTCAGAAACCTATGTGTTTACCATACACCAGGCTCTTGTTTAAGAATCCTCATCTTTCTCGAAGTAAACATGCATTGTCCGTAAGCATCAGGAATCAAGAGAAACAGGATGGCAATATTCTATTCAATAGATTACATTTTGGTCTTAATTACAATGCTTGCATTAAGTGCTTTTACTATTTTTTTCCCCCACTACAAATATATACTGCTGAAGATATATTACAGTTTAAATAGGCTTTTGGGTAGGCTTTCAAGGCAACTCATAATTTACGAAGTAAGTCCCAAATTCTAAACAATTTATTTATCAATTCACTTGCTGTACAACCTCTTTAACCTCCTAAAAATTATGATTAAATGTTTGACAATGGAGTTTTGAACAGGTAGGTTGAATATACTGAATTTGGAACTTGAATAGCTTACTAAAGGATATGAGTCCGATTTAACTACTTCATTGAATATGTTTTATATTCAGGGTAAGATTTAAAGCAAAAATATTCTAAGTAAAATGTGTCCTTTTATACTATTTAATATCTGAACAAACTCCAAAACTCTGTAACAGTTCATTCATCATTTGCCCAACAGCAGGTAGCAGAGAAACAGCTTTTTCAGAAACTTGCAATTTAGACAAGTGACTTTATTGGTGGTGTGTCTAAAATAATACTTTTAATTTTAAGTAATGAGGTACGTAGCTAATTTGCGTTTTAAAGCAGCTATTATCAATGTCATACTAAATATATGGACTGAAACTAATAATGAAGTTAATGACTTTGGGTCTAGCAGGCTTGAAAGATAAGGAACAGATATTTATTTTAATCTGTATTTTATTTTTATGAACAAATTTTCAATGACACAGATTTTAATGTATTTTCTACTTCATAAACTCCTTGAGATGGGAGTGAGGAGATCACAATTCCCTGGGCCATTAGGTTAAACACTTAGTAAGCTATTAGACTGTGATACTTCTATTTATAACAGTACAACTTGAGATGCATTGGCTAAATGAGCTCCCATAAAAGCAACCCTATAGATTTCTTCTTTCAAGGCAGTAGCCAGAGGTCACATGTGACTACTGAGTACTTAAAATATGGTGAGCTCAAGCCGAATGTGCTACAAGTAGAAAATACATCTGGATTTCAAAGAATACCCCCCCCAAAAAAGTGAAATATCTCATTTACACTTTTTAGATTGATTACATGTTGAAATTAAACAACATTTTGGATCTACTGGGCTAACAAATATATTTATTAAACTAATCTCACCTGTTTCTTTTTACTCTTAAATGTGGCTACTAGAAAATTTAAATTATAAACGTAAGTGGCTTGCATTACATGTTTGCCGTTCAGCACAGCTATAGACAATACTAAAAGGGAATGTGTAGGATAAACAAGGATAGCATTTCTGCTGTACCCCTACAGAGAGTCATATTTGTACTCCATTTCTCTAGAAAAAGAAATAAATTTAGGGATGGATTAAAATTTATTATTTGATAAAATGTTTAGTTTATCAGGGATAGAAAAGTGTTAACTTAAATCAAGCTGCTGATAACAAGTATTTTTATAAATCCATCCTTAAATTCTTAGAAAACTGATTTTAGACTTATTTGATTATACAAAATGCCATTGAATATCATTTTATATATCTCAAAATACTATAATACATAATATGTATAATATACTCTCATATAATTCTCAAACCAACTGACTTGATAATGGTTTTTTTCAGAAATGGTTCCTGACTTGTTTTTAATCCCAAAATGCCCTAAAAGGTGTCTTATGCCCCCCACTCCCCAGGGTGATGGCTCACTACAGCAATAATTGTTTCTTGCTTTTTGTTTTCTTGTCGGTCTATTTTTGAGCTCAGATAAAATATTTTACTTTTACTGTAAAGGACACTAGCTGTTTGAGATCTTGACTGGTGAATTTTTGGGTTTCTGTGTTTAGTTTTGACCTGCGGTTGAAATCGCAGCTATAAAGTTCTCTTTATATATGTGTGACTGTAATTCAGAAAAGCCTTTACCTCTTTATATGAGTGTCTAGTATTTTCTTACACCTGGAGAGAATTAATAAGTTATTACAACCCATAAACTAAAGGTGTTTTGTTCTGATTGGTTTATAGTGGTAAACAGACACATATAAATCTAATATTCCCCACAAATTAACAGAAATTTTTTTAAAAATAGAACTTCTCTAAAAGTCCTAGAGTTTAAAAAATACTTAAATGGCTAGCTCAGAAACATTTTTATAAAAGGATCCAAATTTACATAGTTAAGAGAATTTTTGAACAAATTAGACAAACAACTTTGGTCTAAAAAAGTTTTATGTCTTTTCCTTTAGTTTATAATTATAGACTTTGTTTTTTAAAATAAGATTTGTTTGTTTCCTTACAGACTAAGCTAAACTTTAATTTCTTATGTTGGTTTAGGATTATGAAAAATATAAAACAGGCATCCAATTAAACTGAATCACAATTCTGAGAAACCTTTTTCATAACAGTAATTATTTATAGTATATCACCTACCATTAATTTACAAGTTACCTAAAACATACATACCTAAAGCATACAAGTTACCTAAAACATGTTTGTAACGAGTTCAGTTTGCTTGAGGAAACTCTCCAAACCAAACTGTTCTTAGGCAGAGGGGGAAAAACCCTTGTCAGTTGGAGATGCATTCCCTACTTTGTCAATGTGTTTCCGAGGCAAATCAGCCTCATGCAACAGAGTAGTCTGAAGTATATATTGGTAAGAGGAGATAACATTATTGATTGTATTGATTCAGAGATTGACTCCACAGTCATTTATAGTTTAAAAAATATCTGGCCATCTGACTCCAGTAACTGCTCTCAACTAGACTAGATTGGAGAGGGCAAAACCAAGGCAAAGAGATTTGTTAAGATTTTTGCAATAATATAGATGGGAAAGAACAGGAACCTGAACTAAGGAAGTGCCAGAGTTAATAGAGAACGGAGATAGACTGTAGATGGTAGAACCTATCCCATGTGATGCCAGGCTGGATGTAAGGGGCTGACAAAATGGAGAAAATATCTAGGTTAGGTAACTGGGTGCGATAAATGCAGATTATTTAGGTAAGTAATCAGTAGGAAACACCCCTGCACATTTATGAGGGAGATGAGAAGTTTATTTTTGGAAATGCTGTTTATAGTATTGTGAGGTGTTCAGGTAGAAAAATATAGAGAGACACAGAAATAAGCAAATATATTCATATCTTAGAAATACAGGTTAGGAGCCCAAGAGAAATGTCTGCAATGAAGAGAGAAGCTGGCAGTCATTAGTTTAGAACTGAATGATATAGTCCAGATAACATACCAAGAAAAATCCCGGGGAACAGAAATACTGAGAAAAAGAAATCTGAGCATGAGATAGGGCAGGACAGTTAGCATGACAGAAGGGAAACCAGCAGAGGATATTGTCAGAGGAGCCATGAGGTGGGAGAAACTTCGAGTGGGAGGAAATGAGCAAAGGTGCCACGTGCTTCAGATATGCCATGAAGCTCTGCCACGTAACCCGTGACCTTCACAGAGACAACTCCGTGAAGTGGTGGGAGTGGAACCTGCATCAAGCAGGATAAAGACTGAATGTGGTGACAGAGACCAGCACAGTGCAGGGCTGGATAGTAGAGGCTGTGCTTCTGTACACTGGACTATGCAGGAGGGGGCATGGGAAGTCACTGAAGAGTGGGTGGGGGCTGGGAGGAGGCATGCATGTATGTGCAAATGTATGAAAGTGTGTGTACGTGCAAACTGCATGCTTGGTCACTCACTTGTGTCCAAGTCTTTTATGACACCATGGACTGTAGCCCGCCAGGCTCCTCTGTCCATGGGGTTCTCCAGGCAAGAGTACTGGAGTGGGTTGCCATTTCCTCCTCCAGGGGATCTTCCTGACCCAGGAATTGAACTCCCGTCTCCTGTGTCTCCTGCATTGCAGGCAGATTCTTAGCCTGCTGAGTCATGTGTAAGTATGCATTTAAAAGACTGGAGAGATTTGAACTTACTTATGTCTTAGGAGAAAGACAAAGTAACAGAAAGTAGTCTCCAAAAACATTAAGAAAATTTTTTTTTAAAAATACACAACCTCAGAAGCAAGACTCGGAGGGCTGGGAAGAATGCTAGCCGGTGACATGAGTGTGAAAGGAAACACTGGGTATTAAGGACACAATCTGGGGGTCTGGTTCCTTTTGTAAATGGTTTAGGCCTAAGAAACTCTATCTTTCTAACCCAGTTTTGCAAATAAGGCAACTCATTAACAAAAAGGAATCAGGTTTTGCTAGAGCTTGGCATCTTTCATTTCTACTTCAGTGGTCTCTAATCTCTGCTTAAAACTAATAAGTATACTTGGTTTTTATTTAATTTCCTTATATTAAATACTCTGAGATACTAAAGGCAAACTGTAACTTAATGAAGGCACTCACGATTCGAACAAGCCAGGATAAGGTGGACGTTGCCGTGGAATAATGTGTGTTGTAGTGGTAGGGAGGACTCTGATCATCTTCCCAGGTCTCGTAGCGCTCTGCGTAAAACACAGCTCTCTTTGGGTTCAAAGCACCGATCGGCTGTAAGAAGAGAAAAAGAAGCATTGTGTTTAATACAGTCATATTAGATATTCAACATTATAACTCTTTACCTGAAAGTATTTACTATGAATTCATTTTAACGATAGAATACGTGTTATTTTGCATTATAGTTTTACCAAATTTGATTTTGATATCGACATTTGATTTCGATAATCACTACATTTGCTAAAATTAACTCAAGAAATGATTTATGTATGCAGGGTTTCTAGGTTTTATTGAAAATTTCCATAAAGTAGATTGTCAGAGATGAGCCAGTTTAACCTGTTAAGGCAAAACCAGTATTTTGGTGTTATTTTGCCTACCTAACCACAGCCATAATGAATATTTAGCTTGATTACAGGAAATCAAGTGAGAAAGTGAAGAAGCAGTTGACCATGTGACCATCACATTAGAGAAAATCTTGTCTTAATAGCCAGTTAACCAGAGTGTGAAAGATAGTAGTCACACATATGGAAACCCTGTTGGAATGATAGTCCCATTCTGTTATTATACAGATGTAGCAAGTATTCTTTTTATTAAATTCAACTGGAAATCTGAGGCTGATGGAAATAATCTGGACAATTCAGATTCCCTGGAAAGCATTCTGTTAAGGCCACTAAGTCTTGTCCTAGCAACACCACTACACTACTGATTACGACATTAATCCCTACAGTGGAACATGTGGCAAAATGCTCAGGATACTATATGTGTCTATATATATATATATTTTTTTTTTTTTTCCAACAAAGCATATGTTAGTCAGACTATTGTCTCAAACTTCCCAGGACACCACTTATCAAGATTTTCTAACATTTAGTACTCACGATTTCAAATAGCACACTTCCTTAGCTTAAGTTTTTGTCTGATTTTGACTTAATGGCATATGGGATCCATTCATATAAAACCTAATAGCTACACTGCTTTGTTTTAGGTTGCATACTGTAAGAAATAAGTTTCTATAGAAAGCAAAAGATGAATAATATGTAAAATATATAATTCCTTTATTTCAAACTGTAATATTACTAGTTAGCTATGAAGTTCCCCCCAGGGCTTAATTTTAACAAGAGAAGTAGTAGAAAATTAGTGTTTCAATGGAAGACAAATAATGTTACACGAGAGAGCAAGATTAATAAATTGCTTGTAAGCTTTTTCTTTGGGTCCCAGGGGACTAATTCAAACAATACAATGATGTCAGCAGTTAAAAAGTCTTTCAGAATTTTCATAATAAATTCTTATTTGCAAGGATTCTTTTCCTGAATATTAAAACTATTTATAAATTATGTTCTTTTTCCTTAAACTTAATTATGACTTAACAAAGACTAAATAATTATTTAATGTTTTCAAAACTGGCTTAAATATATATTTCAAATATTCTAAGGCTTAAACCTTATTCTCTGCTAAATGTTACTATCTCTCAAAAATTTTTTACTTGCATACAGAAAGGCAATGTAATTTCATTAAATGTCAGCAAAATACTAATAATATTTGACATAAATATATAATTTTTTGGTAAAAGGGTAATTACTACAATAAAATTAATGTTGAGTTCTATTACAAATTAAAATAGTAAGTTGTTCATTTAAACTGGCCTATATATTTTATGGTATTCCCAGGTGATACAGTGATAAAGAATCTGCTCGCCAAAGCAGGAGATGTGGGCTCAATTCATGGATCGGGATGATCCCCTGGAGGGGAAAATGGGAAACAACTCCAGTATTTTGCCTGGAAAATTCCATAGAGAGAGGAGCCTGGCAGGCTACAGTCCATTGGGTTGCAAAGAATCGGATATGACTGAGCATGCATGCACATATTTTATACTTTTTAGATGTGCAGATAAGTTTTTCTAACTCAATATTATAAATTATAATATTATTATTTTTTCAGAGCATTTAAATGTTGAGTACTTTATTCTGTCTTGAATAGGCTTATAGATCTTTCATATGCATAAAATGTCTACACAATCTTTCAGGATTGACCTTACCTGACACTGTTCTGCAAGGCCTCACAAAACCAAAACCCACAAAAGGGCCTCATGGCCCTTCTTCTAATCTTTTCCAGGCTTCCCTCAACTACTTGAAAGTAGAAAAAATAAAAATAAATCTGTACGCTTTTAATTTTATTCAAGTTCCATCAAAGTCATTTTATTGGAGTGTTTTACAGAATAATATGTTGTAGGAAATAGCTGCCCTATATGAAAGCTTATATATGCCTCCATGAGTAATTTCTTAAAATACATGTCTACTGTTGAATTTTCATCTGATGCATTTAGAAATAAATTTTATAAAGCAAGTATAAATGGTTTGTACTTATTATTTTTCTATTATTTTACTTCAATCAAGAAGCAATACTTTATTTAAAGGAAAAATATCTGTTTGGGAAATGAGAGTTTCATCACAGATGAAGTATCTTCTTATGGGATCCAAATAAATCTATCTTTCTGTCTATTTCTATCTATCCATCTATTTGGCCTACGTACCAAACTATCTACCTACTTACTTACCTACCTATCATCAATCAATTATTCACCTACCTATATCTACCTACTCAGTCACTCACTTGTCTGACTCTTTGTGACTGCACAGACTGTAGCCTGCAAATCTCTCTCCATGGAAATTTCCAAGCAAGAATACTGGAGCAGGTTGCCATTTCCTCCTCCTGAAGCCTGACCCAAGGATTGAACCTACATCTCCAGCGTCTCCCGCATCCGCAGGTGGATTCTTTACCACTGCATCACCTGGGAAGCCCATATACCACCTACTTAACCCATGTATAAAGTGATAAGGCTGTAAATTTGTTACCCTTTTAAAAATTGAGCAACTAATGCAATGTCAATACCACTTGGATTTAGTAAATAAGGTAGAATTATGATTAAAAAAAAAAACACCTAAAACTACACTTAATGAAATTTATACATTAATCTGCAATCTTTTTCAATTTTCATCATAACTACCATAGCAACAATCAGTTTTATTTTCTCTCAAACAGTAGGCATTTAGATATAGCCACCTCTGGGCTTTTCAGGGATTCTCATATGAAATTTATAACTGAAAGTTTACAGCTTGCTCTAGATTTGTTATTTTGTCCTTGTGAGTTTGTATATCACAAGTTGATACTTAACATATTGCAGAAAATTATGATAACAATGCAAAATTAAAAAATAATTTTACCTCTATGACACTTTAATATTATAATTCAAATTCTAACACTGCTATAAAGCCTGTATACCTTGCAAAAAGCACTATTTTCAATATAAAATTGATGGAAATTACATGCATAACATTACCATGTCTACATGAAACACTATTAAATTTACTGAAGAAATGCTGTTGAGGATTTTCTCTGCTCTCTCACTTAATTTACCTGTTTTGAATACTGAGAGAGAGATTTGTTTCAGGAACAGTATCATAAAAAGCTTTGTTTCCTGATAAACTATGATTTTTATTGTATGGGACAAAATTCCTGACAGATACTAATGGAGATTTACATTACTAAAGGCTCTGAGAAATATTACTGTAAATAGCATTGCTTAATTTTGCTCATTCCTGTGTCTATTTTTACTAGAACCTCATCTTTCTTTCGTTTTGCCGCTACATGCAATAGAACTAGTGTCCGTTAAAATGTACTTTGAAAAATTCTGGTTAGAATAACTATAGTATATATTTTTGATTGTTAACTTGTTTTTTTTTTTTGGTTTCCTATTTTCTTTCCTTTGTGTTCTCTTAGGCTTTATCAATGTTTCCCTATTTTATGAAACCTTACAAGTTTTATCAAGTCTTTTATACAGAGCAGATACATAAATAAAATAGGTAAAAGTGAGGAATAAAAATGATCTAAATTAAAAATACTTATTGAGTGACTGTTACTATATGAGACACTAAAAGGACTCTTAGTAGAGAATATAAAAGTCTGAGCCTAGAGTTGATTTCAATAACTTTAAATAATATGGATTGATGAGGTATGGTCAATACCATTAAAATAGCTAAAAAATAAAACAAAATAAGAATAAAAAGGACTTTCAAGGAAAAATGAGAGGTCCAGTTAAATTAATAACACTGAATTCTAGCATATCTAAATAACTTGAAAATACTTATTATATTCACAGCATTAGGATTCTACTTATATATAAAAATGCTTAAGAGTCTACTATTGTTGCTACAACTGCTAATATAATACCATGTATAAGATTGATTTTCAAAAGTCTCTGAGGTGGACATGGTATTTGTTAAGAACCTAATTTCATGACATGGAAGCAGGTGCCTGGGTCTCCACACTTCACACAACACTGCACTGCTTTTTCATTGCTAAATATGAAATTCTGATCCTGATGTCATTTTTTTTTCTAAAACTGCCTATAAGATTCCTCGTCCATCATGGATCCTCAGAAATGGAATGAACCTTACAGGCCTAGTAATTCTACTCCCTTAACGTTATAGATGAAGACAACGAAGAAAAGTCAAATCGAGATCACATTGCTGGCTGATAGCTGTATTTTACAGAATGAGCTGAAACTGTGTGCTGGATATAGCTTAAAGCTGGGTAGAACTGACTGACTGGCTTCTAAGTATTCTTTTCAGTTATTAGCTCAACATTCAACACAACTGAGCTTCTAACATAATCTAGTTTATCTTGTTATCTCTCATTATAGTAACTGAGGGTTTGGAAACCCTTAGAAGAAGCTTCAAGAATTCCTGCCTTTCTTGTTTTATCATCATTCTTAAAATTCTCAGGTATGACAAAATAGAAATCACACTTACAGACAATTCTGTGCTCAAGTAAATTCCCTAACTCTGTTCTTATCTGACCAGGGAATTTCAAACTATTCTTCTGGAAGTAGCTAAAATTTTATCTGTAAATCCCTACATGTTTGTAGCAGCTCATCTGGTAATGGTGAGGCAAGTTCATAACTTTTTTTTTCCCCCCACAGCAGATAAGCCCTTCAAGGGAATGCCCTATGTTTAATCTGTCTCTGCATCCTCTGAGCCAGGTGTCTAATACAGTAT